TATTATATAGGATATTTCTTGGGAAGTTATTCAGCCCAGGTAGGAAGCTTCTTCCAAGCTCCTGAGTAAGCCAAGTGGATGTTGACTCGCCAGACATTTATGTAGTGGGAGATACTAAGTAGGAACACCTGGCTTGCGGGAGACTTGTTCTTACTGACACCTCCAGAGGCGAACAGCTGTGGCATTTGGGTGAGTTGGGTGTGTGCATCTTTCAGACAGGACACTCTAGAGAGCGCAGCTTTCTCATCTCTTGCTTCTCCACCGGGAACTTGTACCATATGTGGGATAAAACTTAAATTTCACCAGCAAGTTCCAACATCAGATGTTTAAAGGAAACTGTTGTATACTTCCAGGAAAAGATAGGAACAGAGTAACAACGACCAAAATGGTAGTATTTCCAGCCTCACACTCACTCCCCAGTCAGAGCTCTTTAGTATTCTCCAGAAGTTTCTCTCTCTACCCACCAATGAGAATAAGGAAGGAATTAGTTAGGAGCAGATGTGACATGCTGGAAAGAGTTCAGGCACTAAGGCAGGAAGACCCAAGTTTGCATCTTAGCTTTTCTGCATGTTTGTTGTGTAACCTTGGACTTCATCACCAAGCCCCAATTTCCTAATACATCAAATGGGGGAAAACACCAACCAGAACATTGTTCTGAGCATGAATGACACTAAGAATGAAAAGTAAAGGATTTGTAAAACAGGAATATTGCCCAGCTGGTGTCGCTCAGTGGTTGAGCATCAACCTATGAGCCAGGAGGTCATGGTTCGATTCCAGGTCAGGGCACATGCTGGAGTTGTGGGCTTGATCCCCAGTGTGGGGCATGCAGGAGGCAGCTGATCAGTGATCCTCTCTCATCATTGATGTTTCTATCTCTCTCTCCCTCTCCCTTCCTCTCTGATATCAATAAAAAATATATTTTTTTAAAAAAACAAGAATATTGTTTGCAAGGGGTTGGCATAGCTCCTCCTTTGTTCTGGAAGATAATTTGCTTGAAAATTCAACTGTGTACCAAATCGTCCTCCCAGGGACCAGCAGAAAGTGGCAAGCTCCCTCTGAGTGGAAGCCTTCACTGGAGCTCCCCAAAATAGGCTCTCTGGTCTCGCGGTTTCACCCCACAAACAGAGGCATTCTCCTCATAGGCATGTTCACACTTCGAGAAAGCTCCCTCGGCCTCTCCCTGTGGAATTGCTGTCTCCCGTGTTTGAACTCTCCTTCCCTCAAGGACAGAGCGGTGGTTTGCAAGCACATTCAGATCTGAGAGCTTCCCCTCCCCCAGCGGGGGTGGGAATTCCAGGCCTCCTTTTGCGAAGGTACTTTGTGAGGAACCTGAAGTTGGAATGCCCTCCTGAGGTCGATGTATAAAAGCCAGCAGCACAAATAGGAAGTGAGGCTGAAGTAAGCATAAATGTTCTCGAATAACTTCAATAGAGGAACGCTTGTTTGATCCTCTTTAAGCTTCCTGAAACCGAGCTGAGTGTTTGTTTGTTTTGTGGCAGCTCCACTTTTTTTTTCAGGCCTTGTCCTGCATGGCTGTTGGTTTCTCAGCTTAAAAGGAAAGTTCTTTTTCTCAGTAATGATGCTCGTGTTCTGAGCCTGGCGATACCCACTTCTAAGGGCCATTTCATCCTAAAGATAACGTTCTGCTAACTCTGAGGACCCAACAGATCAAGGATGTGGCCAGGTACCATGACTCGCGCTTCCCTCCCCTCCCCGAGTCATTTGGCACGCACACCTACGAGTGTGTGAACAGAAATTTTCTCGGTTTATTTTCACGTGGAAGATTTGATCCCACCAGGGGGAAATGTCAACAGACATGACAATGCAAAAGTGACAAAATAGCCTTTTAACCTTTCCATTGCCAAAGAAACAAAGGCCAAGTTCAGGTGAGTTTGCTATTTCATTGTTTCTCCAGGTGCTATTGGTCATTAGCACTGTTGTTTGTTGTTTTAATATTCGGGGAACTTCAGTTCCATGGACCAGAACAACTGCTGGAGAAAACACCAGGGGCAAAGCCGGGGATGGTTTGCAGAAGACAGCGGTGGAGGTGAGCCCTTCCTCTTGGCCTCCTTTCTGTAGATGTGTATCAAACACCATAGAACTGGCATATGATGTCGAGCTAACTGACAGCTCCTAAGACAGAATGTTCTGCAGATGGAAGAGCCAAGAAGTGGCATGTCAGGGCCAAGGTGCTTAGCAGCGTTTCCAGAGACATATTGAGTGTTTTCCTGTACCTTGTCTCCCAAACGCTAATGTCCCCAGGTTTCATGTGTCTCGGGGCCCCTCCAAGTGTGGGAGACAGCACTTATGGCCATGACAGCAATGGCCAGCTCTCTCTGTGGCCTGTGAGCCCAGGGAAAATTTGCCATGTGTCAGACGCAAGCATCTTATCTGCCATGGATTTCATTTTTTCCTGGAAGCAACTGGAAACCAACTCAGTGACACTTAAGTCCTTCACCTGCTGCGTTACTGTAGCCAGTGGGTGTGAGCCAGCGTGGGACCATGGAGAGCCCTCATTTGAACAGCCGCAAGAGTTATGGGCTCTGACTTGGAATGGAATGTTAGACTATGTTCAGAGTCATGGCAACTTGAACTTGGCAGCCCTGTCTGCTTCTGAGGTTACCAGTGCCTCGAGGCCAAGTGCACCTGTGACAAGAGTTGACCTCGGAGTGGGATGCAGATTGAGAAACCTCTTTTAGAGCTAACGATTCATCGGAACTCCTTTAACAGCTGGATGGTTCATTAGCAGTTGAAGTGCTGGAATTACCTGGCACTCTTCCCATCCGCCGTATAGTGAATAAAGGATACATATGGAATCACTGAAAGCTTCCCTCCCGCCCCCCAAAAAGAAAAGGATGCTTAGAATTAAAAGGATGTTTCCATAGTGTCTTTAGTTCCCATCATTCCCATCATCAAAGTAAATAAAATTAACTTTAGTTGAAACTGAGACCCCCTCCATGAGGTCTAATAAGTTCTCTTTGCAGAGGGGCTATTTTTTAGAGGGTTATTAAGACCACATTTCATGATAGGCATGTTTCAACATATTTGTCCTTCTCAGAACAGGCTACATTCGCTTTCTTGGGTTATGATTAGCTGGTTTCTGCGTTTAATCCATAGCATGTGGCATTTTTCTATAATAGTGCTCCCATAGAACATTCTACTGGCACGCAGGAGGCCAGTTATAATGCTTCAGTTTGGGGAAAACACAAAAACAAAACCATTCAACATCCCCAATAGCCATGTTTCCAAAGAAAATGATCTACGCCCCCCCCCCCAAAAAAAGGTTAAAGTTCCAAATATTACTTTTGCATTTTCTTCATGTGAATTTTAAAGGAAGTTGAGAAAAAGTATTAACAGTGCATCCAGTATTGATGTCATTAGGGTATATTTTATATTCTATGAACACCAACCTTCTCTGATGTTTGTGTATATTTAAAGTAGCATGTGGTTTACTGCATATCCAATTTCCCATTTGTCCCCGCCTTCCTGGGACTGGACTTGGAAGGCTGTGTCTCACTTGCATACAAATGAGATACCATCATGCTTTCAAAAGTGTCTTCTCTCCCTCTCCCCCCTCCTCCCTCAGTTGGCCTTATGCTAAGTTAGCCAATCAAAGTCAACATTACATCTTCCCCTTTGACCTGGCTTCTCCCTCTTCCTTATATAGGCCTTGGTGGCCCCACACCTTTCCACAGTCACCGCCACACCTGGCCGGGCAGCCTGCAATAGCTGCGTCACTCCTCCTCCTCACCTGATTGCTGCAGCTGACCCAGCCGCCTCTGGCTGTGCTGCCAGGAGCTCTGCAGACAGCTGCAGCAGGATGAGGGTACCCAGGAGGCTCTGGGTCCATAATGGGCATCTTCTGGCCTGTGTTCCTCTCTCAACAGTGAACACTGCACACACGAGGAAGCGCTGGTTTGGGGTGTACAACATTGGACTGGGTTTTGTTTCGTTTTTCTTTCTGAACAGTTTTGGTCTTTTACTATCCCTAGCTCTGTGATTTAAAACACACACACACACACACACACACACACACACACACAGACACAAACGGTGGTAGTGATAATAAGGCTTTTTAAGGCAGTAAATCAAGCCACTGTCCTGGTTTGTTTTGCTGTCTCTCTTACCTTCTCACTCTTGCCTCAGGATCAGTTGTCCTTTTGCTCCGTCGTTCAGCAAACAATAGCACCGCAGCCGCAGGCCTGGCAGCGACGGGAGCACAGGGTCTGCCTAGGACGCCCGGTGCTCAGGAGACAGTGGGCACCTGCGGAGCCAGGCAGAGCGGCGGTGTTATCTGTGAAGGCTTCACGGGTGCCTGTGTGTTCCGGCTCCAGGAACCAGCCCCTGGGGCTTTGCCCACAGATGTTTTTGTACCATCCGTGAACCTTGTTTCTGAGTGTGGTTTGAGGGTACAGGCCCTGAGATCAAAGTGCCAGGTCTCACAACACATCTGAGCATAAAGGAATCCTAGAGAAAGTCCTCGTAGTCAAGGAAACTGAGGCCAGAAGTTAGCAGCAAGGGCTATGGAGCATCCTGGAATAGAAGAAACAAGTAAGTGGTCCATTTCCCAATCCATGAGCCACTTGAAAATGAAAATAGTAGTTAGATTTTTTTTTTTTTTTTGCTAGACTCATCTTTCAGGTCATAAACACTTACTACTATGGGTGACTGAGTCCAAAAATAAATATGGGGAGAAAATCCTTTGCGTGCATGAAGCACTTTATATTCTCTGCCTCCTTCTCAATCCTTAATTAAGCCCGGCAGCCACCCCATAAAGCCGGTCATTACCACTGTGTGAGGAGATGGAGTCCCCGGGACTATGCAACTTGCCCAAACATACGGGCCAGACAGGCTGGGCAGGGTGAGACTTCCCAGTTACTGAGGCCCACGCCCCGGGTGCAATCCAGCCTCATCACCCTGGGTCTTGGCACAGGGAATAAATAAACAAACAAATGATGATTGCATTGCTTTTACTTTTGGGGAGCAATGGGTTCTTACTTAACACGGAACAAGGGGCAAGACAAATAGCATCTAATAGCAAAGCTATTGGGGGACAGTAGTGCCACCATTCAGGGCCTTGGAGTTCTGCCCTTTCTGGAGCTCTGTGTCCACATCGAAGTTTCTCGTTACCCAGATTTTATTCAGCAAAGGTGCCGTCTGTCCTGCTGGGCAGCGGGCATTCAGAAGTGGTACCATGAGGTCTGCTTTGTTGTATTCAGGTTCAATGCCATGTGCTGGAATATATGGAGAGATTGGAAGCTGAGAAGAGGAAATTTATCCTCCCTGGGGTCAGGGAAGGCCCCACGGATAAAGTGACATTTAAATAGAATCGAAAATGATGAGTAGGAGCTCGCTAGTTGGAAACTAGGGAAAAGAGGAAAACTATGGGTAGAGGATTGATAAATTATGACTTCAGAATCCACCCTCATATTCAAATTGTGTTCCCTGTAACCTACAGTGTGACTGAGACAATACGCTCAGCTCTCAACTCTGATGACAAACTATTTCTCTCTGCCCTTTGAGATGTCTCTGGATGAACTTTTTCCCCACCATACGGAAGGCCACAGCCTTGGCAGGATTTCTCAGAGCTCCAAGGTTTGAGAGCATAAGGGGAAGGCACCGGGGCTGTGTTTGACGCCACTCCTGGCAGTGAATTTCTGCTTTTTACTGATTCATTTCAGTGTGTCTGATGTCCTTTACATAGTAGTTATGTGTCCATATGTGTGTATACATGTTATTCATACATGTATATATACATATCATATATACACCTATATGTATATGTGAAACACAGGAATGTGTCATGTGTACATATACGTGTATGTGCATACATAAATACATATATCTAATTTTGTATATGATACCCACCCTTTAATTGATATTTTTTTTTAACCTACAGACAGTCCTCGGGCTACGTCAGACTCAATGTACATTGTTTTGTGATTATGCTGCCACCTCCCATTTACTTATTAAAAAAAAATTCCATCATATGTACATATTTCGACATATGTACATATGTGCTTTATGTTTTTTTTATTTTTTATTTACCACAAGTAAAGGTCAGTAATTGTTATCTTTCTTTTAATTTTTTTTTTTACTGTTTCACTTCATTACTGCTGTGTATGTGCTCCATGTGAGTGACGTAGGTGCTTACGTAGGTGGGTTCCGACTTATGGCGAAAATCGAGTTACATTGCACCTTGCGAATGGATTGCAGATGTAACCCAAGGACCTACTGTATTTCACTGAAGATTTTACCAGGATGGGGGAAGAGGAAGGGTAGCGAACAATGGACTTCTTCAACAAAAACAAACTTCCTGTGGACCCTTAGCGACCTTGTTTTGGATCCTTCAGCAGCTGAGCCACCATGTGTCTTCCTCCTTTGTCCTTTTCCTCTCTCCCGACCTTCTTCTTTCTCCCCCTCCCCCTCTCCCTCTGAGATTCCTAGTTATCTCTCTCCTCCCCCTCCCTCTCTCCTCTCCTCCTTCTCCCTACAATCCTGCTCAGCTCTGTTATGGTGCCTGTAGGTCCTTATCACCCATCCCTTCAAGGTCATAGGTTATCAGGGAATTTTCCTAAGCCAAGACAGTGTCTTTGCTAAGAGAAATTCTGGTATTATGGTGGTTTCAATTTCCATTTGTCTGTCTGGGACTCACCATATCTCTGCATATAGGACAGTCCCTGGCCATAAGTGAGCAATCAGTATTATCTGTTATATGAATTAATTCATCGATTACATAGTACTTTTAAAAGGTCTGTCTTAACCTGGTGTCTGACTTTACTAGACTTCTGCCCTGAATGCTAAATAACTCAAGGCTTATAAGACATTTTAATCACAGAGCCCTCGAGGCTGCTGCCCACTGACTGTGATGCCCCCAGCCACTGAAGCCAGGCTGCCTAAACACTGCAAAGGCCACATTCATTAAACCAAGCGGCGTTGGTCAGGCCTGCCTACTGGGCAAGGATGGAGGACACACACCTGCTGTGGAACAGGGAAAGAGGAGGAAAGGAGCACGAGAGGGGGAAGGACAAACATCACATCTCTCTTTCAGAAAGAATTCAAGTAGCAATTGTGGGCATAGGATGTGCATTTCCCAAGTCTCTGCATTATTACACATGTTAAATATTTTGTAGTTGGAAAAAGTTCCCATAATTTTAAAAAGAAAGAAAATCCCATACAAAGATGTCAACTGAAAATGAAATTGCTCCTGCTAATAAAGAGACATTTCAAAGTATGGAGCTCTTCCAAGAAAAGATTTATCTAGGGCCCTCAGCACCCCAAAACAGGAGATGGCTCCCAGTGAACCTGATCAGCAGGCGGCAAAAACCCCAAGCTTGCTCTGGCTGATGTTGCTCAGAGGTTAGAGTGTTGGCCCATGCACCAAAGGGTCACAGGTTCAATTTTCAGTCAAGGCCGTGGACCTGGGTTGCAGGTTCGATCCCCAGTTGGTCAGGGCACATGCGAGAGGCAACCAATCGATGTGTCTCTCTCACATGAATGTTTCTCTCTCTCCCACCCACCTATCCCTTCCTCCCTTCCACTCCCTCCAAAAAGAAAAATCAATGGAAAAAAATACCCTCAAGTGAGGATTAACAAACAACAACAAAAACAAAAACCCTCAGACTTCTGAGAAATCTTTGTCATTTCAGATCTTTGTCTCTTACCACCGTTATGGCATTAACTTGTTAAAGCCCGGTGGTAAAGTTGTCTTCTCTCCCGCACCTCCCTGTACAAGGGATGTTACGGAGGGCTGTAAAGAATTCTCTCAAACTAGTCCCCTCCCCAAGTCCTTTTCCAACACAACATGGAGATAGTATTTCAAAATGAATCATTAAAAAACAATCCCAGGGCTATGCTAGTAACTTCCTGGGAAGGTGAGAGAGATACACAGACATTCCCACAGCCACTCTGGTTACTAATAAGGCTCAGAGAAGCCCGGACACAAGGTTCTGTCCAAGCTGCCACACACTGTCCTGAACCTCCCTGTCCAGCTTATTTATTTATTTTCTCCCATTCTAGAACAGCCAGCAACTGATTTCACACCTTTTTGTTTAGCTGCTAAAAGCAACACAATAACTCCCCTCAGGGCTGCCTCTGTGGGTTCCAAAAATAAAATGGACTCATTTTCATGCTAAGCATGTAAGGGCTCATGGGGATTCTAATGAAAAGCAAAGGAAGGGAGAAAAGAGGGGTCAGGCTGGGGCTGTCGCTGAGTGGGGTCAGCTTCTGTGGAGAGTTACCAGTACCCCCTCCTACCCCCACTAGAGGGAAGATATTAAAAACAAAACCAAAACCAGATAGCTCTTAGGTTACAAATTAATCCAAAGCTTAAACTCTCCAGCTTATCTTCTATCCTAAACCCAGGGCCATCTTGGAACACAGACTAGCGTCCACCAAGAAGCGCAGTCGCCCGCTCAGCCTCCTAGATAAGACGTCTCTTGGTAGGAAATAGGCAGTCACGTGCTTCCAGGTCGGAACGTAAAACCATGGGTCCATGAGCTTCCAGGCTAGCTTTGGAAATTCAGTTTTCTGAGTCTAAGTCGTGAGCAATAGCAGCGTCAAGTCACACAATACTGGCCCCGCTGGCCCGTCTAGAATTCAGGAAGCGATTTCCATGCGGGCTTGCCAGGAGCGTGCGTGCTGCTCACCTGCAATAGGGGGAATCCACGCACGACCTGCAGCCCCCCCAGGTGTGCCTGCCGCAATGTGGTGATGCCGCCTGTTCCTTACATTTCCCACCAGGACTTTGCTTACGCAGGAGGCCAGACTGTTGGAGACTCCTTCCATTGATGAGCCAAAACCTGCCTCCCCTTAGCTTCTCCTCCTCGGTTCTAGATTTGTTCATGGCACGTGCAGCAGAGCCTGTCTTTTCATGAAAATTTTTTTAACTATTTGACAATAACTCCGAGCCTCACCGTCCCCTCCCCTGTCAGTGAGGCTTCCCATTTTCTTCTCCTAACACGGTCGTTTCCAATTCCTTCCCCGGGATGTGATCCAGTTTCCAGCGTGTTCCTCTTACAGTCCAGCCCAGCAGTGGTCTGACCCGCACAGAACACAGCGGACAGAACACGCCATTCCCGCGGCCTGCGCTCACCCGAGCCGTCTCTTTTCGCACATGTGTTATGCTGCAGAGTCATATTCCTTCCCAAGACCTGTGAAGAAAGGATGTGCTAAGCCAACGGTAAATAGGGTTGCTCAGAAAATCTCAATTTACTTAAGGGAACACAATTTTTAATTAGTTTAAAACAATTCCTTTACATACAAATACTGGATGTGCAAATTTTCAGTCCCAGTTTTTTTTCCTTAAAGCAGATACCCAAAGTGCCTCCATTTGGCAAACCTTGGACAAATTACTCTTTGAGTGTTTGAACATCTTCTAACTGTCTTTCTTTAACATTATTCTGGGATTCGGACTCTCGGTTCAAGGAATCAGAGAATCTTTAGAAATGGAAAGGACAGAGAAAGATTTTCAAATCCAGCCACAGACGTTCGGGAAGATAGCATTACCCCTTTTACATGTGTGTTGAGCGTTCATTCACAGGATGCTGTCCACGTGCCTCCTCTACGTTATTCTAGGCTTACGCAGGGGTGAGAAGGATAGTCCCCTTCTTTCATGGAGTTTACATGCCCAAGGGGGAACAGAGAAGCAAAATGTGAAATAATTTCATGGAGGGATAAGTGCTGTGAAGAAAATAACGCAGGCCTGTGATAGAGGCGAGGTCAGGAAAGACCAGTTTTATGAGGGAACATTTGATCTGACTGTTAAGAAAGTTTCATCACAGCAAAATATCGAAGAAACTTCTTCCAAACTATGGGAACAGCAAATGCAAAGGCCCTGAGGTAGAAATCGACTTGTTGTGTTCTGGAAGGTAAAATTAGGCCAGTACAGCTGAAAAATTAGTAGGAGAAAGTGATAGCAGATGAAGTCAAGGAGGAAAGGGGTAGGCAGGGGAGGGATCGCCTGGATCCTCAAAGACTGTGGTGAGGAGTGTGGGTTTGGTTCTAAGTGCAGTCAGAAGTCACTGGAGGGTTTTAGGTGGAGGAATGACATGATTTAACTTACATTTAAACCATCTGTCTGCTGTGTGCAGAGGTGGGTTGTACAGGCTTTATAAACAGAAGGAGAGGAAGGAGTTAGGAAGCCTTTGTAATGGCCTAGACAAGAGATGGCAGTGGCTTGTGCTGGCGTGGTGGCAATGGGGACGGAGGGAAGTGCCCAAGTTCTGGATGTCGTTTGAAAGTAGAACCAATGGGACTTGCTAGGAGAGAGACAACTAGAGTCCGAGGAAACTCGAATGATTTGCCTAAAAGGGAAGATGGAGACCAAGAAAAGTTGGGTTCTTAGTAGCGCCATGTACTTTAATCCTAATAGCACTGTGAGGGATATAGTAATTTACTGACATTTTATATATAAGGACCCCGACTTATACATTTTATTTTGAACTCCTAAGAGATGCTTTCCAGATGTTTATATTGCCATATTCTTATTTGAATGCTTGAAATGACTACATCCAATTGCACACCTATACCCTTGGTATTGCTTGTTAACCTTCCTGGAATTCATTTTCTAAAAAATAAAGTCATTTTTTAGCAGGGATGGGGGTGTGGGGGAAAGGCGGCCTCAGAGAAGTTAAGTAATTTACTCCAAATCAAACATTTGGTCAGATTAAGCTGGGATTCAAACTCGGGACTTGATGCCATATCTCATAGCCTCTTCCCACTATACTACATTGTTTTCCAAAGTGTGATGGAGAAGGAACCCTGGGCAGGGTCTCCTGCGATAGGGCTCCTTCTAGGTATCCTTTCTTCCAAGTTATTGCTGCTTAATGCGTTGTTAAGCCGATACCATTATTTATTACAGATTCCCCCATGTGTCATTACATTTAACCACAACTAAGATGACCCCCCTCCCAGCCCCAGTTCCATTCTGCCCACTTCCCTTGCCCCTCACAACCCGAGCCAGGGTCCACTCCCTTCTGTGCAGTGTAACCACCAGAGCCATGGGCCCCTGTGCCCGCCTCCCTTGCTGAGGAGCTGTAGCTGGAAATTGCGTGTGCAACCCGATGACAACTTACCTATATTTAGCAGGAAAAAGTGGTGGCGAGGATCTGTCCAACTCAATGTTTGTTACGGCTGCAATGTTCGGAATCTCACAGGCAGTCTCCTGACAGGCACATCGGCCCTGACAGTGTCTGAGCGCAGGAGGCTTCCTGCCTCTCACAGGGCTCTCCACCCACTGAAGCCTCCGTCCAAGAATCCCATGGCCGCCCCTTGGGGAGCAGAGGCTTCGCATGCTCAACACTCCCCCCCGCCCCCACTCCCCGCCCCAACGTGAGAGCTGCTGGCACTGTGGGCGCTTTGATGGCTTTTAAGTGTTATTCTAAGACAGGAAAACAAGCATGAAAGGTTTAAGGGGGAAATGGACTATTACCCAATTGTTTATGTGTTTAAGTGATGTGTATGGCGCTTGGTTTTTATATCTTTTCAATGTGGCATGGAAAAGAAATACAAAGTGCTGCTTATGGTGTAAGAACAAAGATAAACTTGCTTGGGGGGTGGGGAGTGACAAATTGCAGCAGGTACTCTCAAGTGCTTACTCTGACAAAATCCTTGCCATGGAGGCGGACTATCCCTTCTACTTAAGTGACTAATTCGAGGCTGGGGCATAGTTTAGCTTTTCTGGAGCCAGACCAAACCAGATATAGTATATTGCCCATGACTCTGACCCTCATCACTGCTGGTCAACCAGACAGAATTATCTACTAATGAAAAGCAGAAAAATTAAGAAGAGCTCAGAAAAGAGGAAAGTAAAGACCATTCAAGAAAAAATGGGAATCTTTAAGACAGTAACATAATGCCAACTGTATCACACAAAAAAGGGAATTTCTGGGGCAGTGTGTGTGTGGTGGGGGGCGGTGGAGGGAGCACACGAGAGGGATTATAGCCTGTGAGCACTTATTTAGACTACTCTACTTTTTAACATGCAAGATGTATCCATCCTTAGTCAGCAAGGGGGAAAAAGCTATTGGAAAACATTCCTATTCACTTTAGAAATAGCAATTTCAAAAGGTAGTTTTTTCATACCTTCTTCTAATCCCTAAACTAATTTGTGGTTAAATATTATTCAGAGGAAAAAACACTTGGTTTAGAAATGGCCTGTCTCCTTTTCACAAAATCTCTTCCAATGAGACGAGTTTTAGTGTCGCCATGTCTATGCAGGAAAGGAGGAAGAAATAGAAAATCCACTTTTTGGGAGAAACCAAGATGGCGGCATAGGTTAACGACGGAGATTGCTGCCTCGAACAACCACTTCAGAGATATAACTAAAGGACAGAACAGACATCATCCAGAACCACAGGAAGGCTGGCTGAGTGGAAATTCTACAACTAGGAGGAAAGAGAATATCATCCCCAGACTCAGAGGAGGCGCAGTGCTTAAGTGAAATACTAAGGTGCGGAGTGCATGCGGAGCAGGCTGGCGGTGGAGGGTGTGGTTGTTGTTTTCAATCGGGAGGGAGTTTCAGACTCTGAGCTCCAGATCCAGGCGAGTCTCTGGGGACCCCGACTCAAACGGGAGAAGCGGGACTGTCTGGCTTCGGTCAGAACTCGAAGGCAGCTTTCTCTCTGAGGTTTGCAGCAGTTGCTGGGACTCTGAGAGGCAGAGCCCCTAGGGACGGAACTGAGAGCAGCCATAACTGCTTGCTCTGCCCACCCTGTAGATCCCCGGGGACCCGCCCTGCCCAAGCCCTGCGCAGAGCCATTTGCCAGATAGCCTCAGGCAAAGGCTAGATTAGCACCGCCCTAGATATCCAGCACAGAAGCTCCCCCACTGCAGACACAGCTGACTCTCATAGCCAGTTAGCCTGGAGGTCAAATCACCCCTGGTATTACCGACAACAATCAAGGCTTAACTACAAGACTGCGCACAAAGACCACTAGGGGGTGCACCAAGAAAAGATAAAAAAATGCGGAGACAAAGAAACAGGACGCAAATGTCAGAAATGGAAGATATAGAACTCAAAACCACACTTTTAAGGTCTCTCAAGAACTGTCTAGAAGCTGCCGATAAACTTAGTAAGGCCCTCGAAAAGACTGATGAGACCACCGATAAATGTAGTGAGATCCTCAAGAAATCTAATGAGACCCTCGATGTTATGATAAAGAACCAACTATAAATTAAGCATACACTGACTGAAATAAAGAATACTATACAGACACCCAACAGCAGACCAGAGGAGCACAAGAATCAAGTCAAAGATTCAAAACGCAAAGAAGCAAAAAACACCCAACTGGAAAAGCAAAATGAAAAAAGAATCCAAAAATACGAAGATAGTGTAAGGAGCCTCTGGGACAGCTTCAAGCGTACCAACATCAGAATTATAGGGGTGCCAGAAGATGAGAGAGAGCAAGATATTGAAAACCTATTTGAAGAAATAATGACAGAAAACTTCCCCCACCTGGTGAAAGAAATAGACTTACAGGTCCAGGAAGCGCAGAGAGCCCCAAACAAAAGGAATCCAAAGAGGACCACACCAAGACACATCATAATTAAAATGCCAAGAGCAAAAGACAAAGAGAAAATCCTAAAAGCAGCAAGAGAAAGAAACCCAGTTACCTACAAGGGAATACCCATACGACTGTCAGCTGATTTCTCAACAGAAACTTTGCAGGCCAGAAGGGAATGGCAAGAAATATTCAAAGTGATGAATACCAAGAACCTACAACCAAGATTACTTTATCCAGCAAAGCTATCATTCAGAACGGAAGGTCAGATAAAGAGCTTCACAGATAAGGAAAAGCTAAAGGAGTTCATCACCACCAAACCAGTATTATATGAAATGCTGAAAGGTATCCTTTAAGAAGAGGAAGAAGAAGAAAAAGGTAAAGATACAAATTATGAACAACAAATATGCATCTATCAACAAGTGAATCTAAGAATCAAGTGAATAAGTAATCTGGTGATCATAATAGAATCAGGGACATAGAAAGGGAATGGACTGACTATTCTTGGGGGGGAAAGGGGTGTGGGAGATGCGGAAAGAGACTGGACAAAAATCATGCACCTATGGATGAGGACAGTGGGTGGGGAGTGAGGGCGGAGGATGGGGCGGGAACTGGGAGGAGGGGAGTTATGGGGGGAAAAAAGAGGAACAAATGTAATAATCTGAACAATAAAGATTTAATTTAAAAAAAAAGAAAAAAGAAAATCCACTTTTTGTACCATTTCACTTCTTGGGACCAAACCTTCCAATACTGTATTCCAGAAGTCAATTAGCAGACTATTATTACGAAGAAAAAAAAAGCTTTTATGCAATTTGTGGGGAAAATGAAAATACAATTAAAATGTTTAAAAGTCACCCATAACCCTATCATCCTAAGATAGTCACTGTGAATAAGGTTTAAAAACAAAACAACATTATTTGGCCCATCCCTTGTATAACCCCAACAGGAACATTTTAACTCAGGGTTTCTCTCATTTTTCATTTTGTGAGTTTCCAGCAAGTTTCTGTAGATCCATGAGTTGATATCTTTACTGACACCCTAGAAGCCCAAGCAGAGGTGATCTTTCAACATTAAATATCTAATCCCCTCACAGGAAATACTCTTTTCTTGAGATGAACAAAGAGATGCCTAATTCTTCTTTATATTACTAGTCCTACCACTATCGAGAAACCCGGAAGGCCTTTCTGGTTTTCTGTGTCATAACATGAACCCCACCTGTCAGAGACACAAGAAAAGCTAACATGGTATTGCTCTCACCTAAGACCTAAACCTTTCAAAGCTGACATTCTCTTCCTCCAGTAATTTTAGGCAGCCTTCTTGTACATCATGTGGACCACCTGTTAAGTTGAAAGAATCAGTATAATTGCTAAAAGAACTTCTTTTTTAACAAAAAGGATTAAAGGTGGAAAAACTGCTGGTAAAAGAGATCAGTGAAACAGCGAGAAAACCCAGAAATGTAATCTCGCATATGTGAGAATAGTCTTGAATATCTATATACAGAATATATGTAAAAGCTGTAGTAAACAGCAGTCAACAAGTGGGACTGTGATATTGTTAGCTTATCAGGAAAAAGGGTAAATTTTTTCTCATACCACATAAGAAATCAAGTGCTAGATAAAGGAAATATATTTTTATTGATTTCAGAGGAGAGGAAGAGAGAGATAGAAACATCAAAGATGAGAAAGAATCATTGATTGGCTGCCTCCTGCATGCCCTATACTGGGTAGCGAGCCCATAACCTGGGCATGTGCCCTGATTGGGAATCAAACCGTGACCTCCTGGTTCATAGATTGATGCTCAACCACTGAGCCACACTCTCTGAGCAGAAATATTATTTTTTAAACTAAAGAGTATATATTTCCACATATTTATCTAATCTAGATGGGTAAAGATCTTCTATGCTTTAAAGCAACAAAAGAAATCACAGTAAAAGGTCAATAAATTAAAATATAGAGAAATACAAAATTTCTATATATGTCAAAAATAATCAAACAAAATCAGAGGACAAAACGCAAACTGGTAAGTAGATGTATTTTTTCAAAATTTAGGCACTAAAAGTTAATGGCCTTAATTTATAAAGTGTTATTATAAATCAATGACAAAATAGATGAAGGTCATGAACTGACAGTTTATGTAAGAGAAAATACAAATAGCTAATTATACAGTAAATACTTTTCAGCCTCACCAATGAATACAAAGTTAACAGGGACCTAACAAAATAGCAAAGACTTTTAAATGACATTAATCAATGCAGCCAGAGCTTCAGAAAGACAATCATATTCTGTGTTACACCCTTCCCAGTAATATGTATTAAAATCCTGAAATATGATGCTCTTTGATCCAGTAATTCTACTTTCAGAAGATTATACTAAGGAAATAATTTGAAATGCTAAGATTTATGAACACACACACAAAAAAAAACATTTACTTAAGTAGTCCCTAAATATCCAATAATAGGAAAATTATAATAAATTATAGTATAGGTATAAAATGGAAAATTATAGTGCTATTAAAATAATATTTAAAGAATTAATAATGGCATGAGAAAATATGTTTGATTGAGTGAACCAAAACATAGTTTGTGAAATTCTTTGTACAGAATGACCCCAGTTATGTGAAGATTTTTAAAAAGCATAGGAAAATATACTGGAACCACTTCTAGATGTTAATGGAGGTTGCATATGACTAATAAGATTTGGTAATGGTTTGTTTACTGTTTTGTTTATTTCTTCAAAATATTTTATTGATTGATTTGAGAGAGTGAGATCGAATTGTTGTTCCACTTACTGATGTACTCATTGGTTGTTTCTTGTATATCCCCTGACTAGGGATGAACCCAAACCTTGGGGTATCGGGAGGACACTCTAACCAACTGAGCTACTCATCCAGGGCTTGTTGTATCCTTCTTTTAACTTCTTTCTAAATTTCAAATATTCTACCATGTAAATGTATTATTTTTAGAACCTTTTGAAATGAAAGAAAAGTTGATCATTAAAGCAGTTCAGAGTATGCCACCCACAAATACACCACTTTGATATAAGGCTTATTTTGAGGTGAATGCAATTGAGAGATAGCAGACACAGGACAACCAACATAGATTCCTCCAGGATGGGCAAGATAATTCTTAACCACCAGAGACAACTCTAGACTCTTATCAGCCCAGAAACTGAACCGGAGGAATCTATGCAACAAATCTTGCTAAAACAATCCTTATCTTCCATTATTTTCCCCCATATATTTACCTTCCCACATTTGTTGCCCTTGGGAGCCTGGAACAAGTCCCTTCTCTACAAATTTGTTGTTCTTTGCTAAGATGCTATAGAAGCCCAAATCCTGACCATTCCCTTGAGTTACTCATCACTGAGTATTCCATGTATTGTATGCTTCATGAGTTAAGAAACTGGTTGTTTTTTCCCTGTGCATCTGTCTTGTGTCAGTCTAATTTGAAGGACCCCAGCACTGAAAGAACCTAAGATGAGTAGAGGAAAAATATTTTTCTCCCCTACAAATGGCTACAATAATAAAAAAGCACCAATGGTAGGCATTCCTTTCCTTCAGCAATCTTAGACTGCGCTCTACTTGATGGTAGGGACAATTGGTTACTTGTTAGCCCGTTGAAATACCACTAACAACTGTGCGTCAGTTTACTCAAAAGTACAGATTGCTAGGTGATTTGGGGGTGGGCAGCTACTTTCTCTTCTTCTCCTTTCTCAAGGTTTAGTCTTCCCTTCTCTTTCTACCTTTCTCCCCCACTTGGTCAAGCAAAAGCCAAAGAACATGAGCACCTCATCTCTTCCCCTCATGAGAGTGGAAAAATAGGATTCTTTTCATCTGTCCTTCCAAGCTGGAGAAGATACGCCTGATGAGGAGAACACAGGCTTCCTGTAGGATGCAGAGGAATGGTCTCTGGAAGAACCAGGACATGCTCCTCCTGCCCTCACTCTTGTAGACTGCTTCCAGACATTCACATAACACATTCCCTCAAGGACTTCGTTTGAGAAACAGACAGAGGGAATGTTTAATGTAAAAAAAAAAAAAAAGAGAGAGAGAGATTTTGGTGTTTCAAATGGTAACTCTTAGGATGACAAACCCCATGACCACTACACAACCAGCAAGGGAGTCAGATCTGAAAATAAAGAAATCGAAAATTCAGTCAATCATACCTGAAGTTGACTCCGGCAGAGGATGGAAGATGGACAGGCTCGGGATATTTCTCCAGCCAAGTTCAAAGTGAAAGGTTTTGTTTGGTTTGTGTCTAGTTAAAATTTAAAGCAAAATGCAGAGTGTACTTTGCCCAACTCATTCACCCTAACAGTTTAAGCAAGTTTCTGTTTCTAAGAAAGTGGAGGGCCCAAGTCGAGGATTCATTTCCGCGATGCTACATAGCATCCTTGAATGAAAGGATCTCTGTCCAAGAAGCCTTGATTGCTTTTTAAAAGCCTTTTAAACGTGTTCTTCTTCCTTTAAATCTTGTACTTACATTCTAATTGCAGACAGCATATTTTAACTCAATAGAGAGAAATGTAATTAAAATCCGAGTACCCAGATTTTGAATGTCTGGGAAGAAATACCTTATCAATGACTATACTTCCTTCCGTGTGATTACTATATTATTAATTGTGGCTATTTTTCCTACATACCTAGAACCCAGGAACTAGGAAAATCTAGCTTTTTCACCTGATTTTCTTTGGATTCCTTGCTCTCCTTTCTCCCCTCTCTCCACCAAAAGTCTAATTTATTCTAGTCAGACTAAAACACATAATTCAGCAGTATGCCACTATCACCCTAAGGTTTCATGTTCTTTCCACTGGAAATAAGTAAAAATAGCACCTTATCCTCAAACTCGGTGGTTAGGAAGAGAAATAAATGGGAAGAGTATAAGCTAACAGCTCTCCTTAAATTGCAGTGTGAGGGCCACAGATATTTGCATTCTTCCACTTGCCCTGAGGCAGCACCCCATGTGCACAGTCATGGTGGCGGCAGCTTGGTCCAGGTGACAAAAACCATTACAGAGAAGCTGTAAGAGGGCCAGGCTGTACTCCTTGGGTTTCATTAGCTTACTTCTTGTGTAGGAGGCAAACGGTGTCTGAAGGGCTCTGGACTTGCTAACCAAAATGTTAATGGCTTAGAAACAGCAAGAAATTAGTTAGTGAGATGTTTATCAAGTACGTGAAACAAGAGTTGACTTTCTGTGAAACATCATTCTGGAATCAAAGCCAAATCTGTCTCTTCTATTCAGTTGAGTATGAGAAGAAGAAAAAAAAAGTCATGTCAGAATTAGTAAGGCCAAAAACAAAGAGAGAGGAATGAAAAGAAGCTGATATTAATAGGGAGGGGGTGGAGTGGGGAAGAATACCTGAGCTTCAACAATTTTTTTAAAAAGCTGGGATTTTGAGAGGTTAAAAGAAATTGGTTGCACTACTTCTCTCAGAAAGACAAATGTCTGGAATACCGAAGGGGTATTGAATTTCTCAGGTAGGTCAGTGTTAGGACTAAGGGAGGGTGCAGTTAGGAGGTGATGCTAAATGGCCTCCTAAAATTTCAGGTTGAAGTGATTTTTAATGGAGTGTATGTGTTTTTGTATCTTTGTTTTTTTCTTATTATAAAAGTAAGAAATAATTACAGTCATTTAAAAACACTATCACTACAGAAAACCAATACTACATTTAAAAAAAAAAAAAAAAAAAAAAAAGGCCCCTATCCATATCTAGTCCCCTAAGGCAGAGAGTATCACTTATTAAAAGTTGGGGATAAAATTTATTTATATGATTTTTATTATATAACATTTAAAATAAAGTTATGGCTAGATGCAACAACATGATACATATTTACATAGTAATATTAAGTTTAAAAAGTGTATGCATAACAGAATAACCCTATGCATAGCAATAATCCTATGATTAGAAAAAGACTGAAATAAAATGTGTCAAAATATTTTCAAAGTCTGGGGTATTTTTCATGTTTTTTAGTATAATATATATTTTAAAACCTGTGTGTTTAATGACTACTTTGCCTTGAAGAGCCCTTGAAAAGGGTTCCCAGTCTCCAACTTCATGGCCATGGGGAGAAGGAAGAATATTTGCAGATCATTGGTAAATGTTGTTTTGAAACTCTTTGCAGCATATGAAATTGAATTTCAGTCTTATTTAAAGGAAAGTTCCCCTGTTTTTTGTTTTTGTTTTTTTTTAAAAAAAGTCTTTATATGTGCTTCTCGGGCAAGAGAAGGATAGAAGAAACTGCATACAAGACTTGGGTTGGGCAATTGATTTTAATCGTGGTTTCTCTTAATTACTCAGCAATTTCAGGCAATTACCCACTTGCACACCATCGTTTTCCCTTGTGTAAAATGGGAAGGGTGATAGAAAATCTGAACCTAGGGACTTGGTCTCCAAGCACTGCTACCCCCGGTACCTGCCTTTTGACAAATACTCAACTCTGCCTGGCTGGGGTCACACAGTCTGCCAGCTCATAGGAGCCAGGAGGCTTAATTACCTGTAGTTTCAGAGACCTCTGAACTCTCTTAGGAAGGGGGCTATTTAAGTTCAATGTCGTATTATCCCATTCCTGAGGCATTCATTTTGCAGAGATAAGAGAGGAAGAGTACAGAGATTGGGCTGTGCTCCAAAGGAAGCTTAGAGGAAGGTTTTCTATATAGTATGGGTTGAGGAAATGCTTCGTGGTTTGAGAAAAAGCACAGTATATTTCCGCACAAATAATATGCTTCCCAGAAAGAAAATATGGAGATTACATATTAATTTAAGGTCATCAAAGCTTAAACTGGCTGCGTCTACCTCCTCTTTCCTTTACTAGAAGGTGTTCCCATGCCTATCTCCTACCTGTACAAACCTGTGTGACATGCAGTCTAGCCGCTGTCATTTCACAGGTGCTGCTGGGTATAACCTTGTCTGTGAGGTCTCCAGTCGCAGGGCCCACAACCATGTTGTGACAACGTGTTCACAAAACCGAGGGCAACGTGTTGGAAGGCTGCCAGCTTTCTTTAAGAAGTATTGCTCTTAATTCTAAGAGTGTGTCCTTCCTGCTTTGGGGGTGTTAAAATGTTACTTTCTTTTCTGAATGAATGGCAATTGAAGATGGTCGTTGTATTTTTTTAGCATCCTTATTGGATCAGATTTAGACTTGGCAGCATGTTATTGATCTTCCCACAATTTCCTTTTCTTTTACATTTTACTGATCTGCAAAATCGAAACTTGGAAAAACATAAGTTTGTGGCTAATTTTGTCTATATAGTAATAGGAAGAATGCAGATGATCACCATTTTTAACCCAAAATATCAAGCTACTAAAACATGTGCCTCAGCTCATGATAAGTAGGACAGCCAGTGTGCTGGGATTGTATTTCTCTCTCTACCCTCTAATAGGGTTCCTAAAATTAAGCCACTGAAAAAAAGTAGGAAGCAGGGAGGGGAAATAATCTGGATGATACATAAACTGGCTAGTTAATGGAACCAGTGCTGATTAATAATGAATAAAATAGGCCCCATGCAATATTTGGACTTTGCTTACACTAAACTTATTCATTATTTGTTTTGTTTTGTTGTTGACAGTATTACAGATGTCCCCCATTTTCATTGTTTATTTTAAATTCAAATTTAACTGAATATTCTGCATTTCATCTGGCAACCTCACACCCAAGAGTGTCTGACCCTTTAGAAAATATATAGGCAGTAAAACATGAATTAAAGTAGCCCCTAAATACAAATGACTATTAATAAAACACACATAAATGCCTATTAATGAAATATTCTTTTGGTTCCTTTATGTTGTCTAGTTTTCTCTTCTAAATATGAACTATTTGAATGATTGAGTTCTTACAAGAGCATAATATGAAATCCAGAGAACAGTAAAAAAGTTAACTTGCCCCACTTGGCTTATCTTGTAAATGATCTGATAACCCATGTTTACAGCAGGGTCTGCCAAGTCACCTCCGCTGCCCACCCCTGAGCTGGCGGCTCAGGTGCTGCAGAGTAACTCCCTCAGCCCACTCTGCTGTTTTAGGGTGGGAAAGTCTGTGGGTGGGAAGCACGGAGGAAAGCCAGGTCCTCTGAGGAGGCCTCCGAGGCACTCAGCATGCAATCAGCACGCTTGCTCTTTGTTTCTCATTTCCCCCTGTGACGTTAAAAGGAATGCAAAGTTGAGAACGCTGCATTTTTTCACCATACTACCTGGCAAATGCTTGAAACAAAAGTAATCATAAAACTGTCAGGTAATGCTAGTAACCCCTCTGGTCCTATTTGCAAGGAAATCGCATTTCCATCTATAAGGGGAATGAATGGATATGAGCTGGGGATCGGCAGGGAAGTCGGAATGGGGGTCAGATACTTGGTGTGCATTTCGTTAAAATGAGTGTGAATGAGGGTGGTGCTTTGTTTTTTCTTCCATCCACCTCCAGGTTGTTGTGAGGGGGGGAAGCACGGTGAACAGTGCTCATATATTCAAATAAAAGGAGAGTGGCAATCAAAATGTATAATCAGAGCCAACGTCGTGGTCAGTCCCTAGCTGGGCTGCTTAGGGTTGTGAAAGGAAAGCTGGGTCAGAAGGTCCCACCCTGGCTCCAACGCCATCCACCAGGGTGACTCTGGGTGAGCTGTGTCATCCTTGGACGTCAGAGTCCCCCCTTCTCCCATGAGGAGGAGACTGCACAGGCTAGCGCCTCTTCCCCCTTTAGCCCTGCTCTAAGGAGCCACAGAGGAGAGAAGGGATTCCCAAGTTACAGGTCTGCAAACAGGATTCACCCACTTACCTTTGGGGGTTCAGAGGTTATAGAATTTAGGTAACAAAGACACAGTCCTTGTCTCATGCTCTGACCTTCACATGTAGACATGCAGCCATTTTTTATGCCTTCCCCTGCCCACCCCGCCTTGTCAGAGGAAGACCACTTGGACGGCTTCTTGGTCCTCCTGGGAATCCCCTGAGCTCTGTCACTGACAGTCCCTTTGGAATCTTATAGGCACAGGTCATCGTCATCATTTTCCAAAGCTGTTCTTTCGGCTGGATGAAAAATAAGCAGGGTTCACCCATCGTAACTATTGATATGGTACACGAAGACGGCACATCTCCTTTTGTTTCTAAATCATACTCTGGCCTGCCAGCATGGCTCCATGGTTGAGCATCGAGCTAAGAACCAGGAGGTCACAGTTTGGTTCCTGATCAGGGCGCATGCCTGGGTTGCAGGCTTGATCCCCAGTGTGTGGTATGC